TACTTCTGTTCTACAACATGTTTTACGCTCATCGGTGCTTCTCACCAATCTCACCTCGCTAATTTACTTTTACGCCGCTAGGGTGTAATAGAGTCATAGGTATATAGGGTGTTAAGTTGAAAATTTAAAAATTAAGAATGAGTAGGAAAATTTTAATTATTATTCAATATAATTTTACTAAAATCAGCAAACGTATCTGGGCCATAAGATACGCCTGTACTAGCAGAAAAATCAGTTAAATAAAATTTGTCAGTGGCGTACGGCAAGGGCAACACCTTTATTCTTTCTATATGTTATGCTCCTTTCCGAACATTAATTGTGAATATAATTTTAAAACATTTTTGATGTTTTTTTTTTAGTAAATAATGTATGTTTGTTGGTTCCATGACAAAACAGCGCAGGACAAAATGGCCCAGGACAAAACAGCGCAGACAAAATAGCGCAAGGACAAAATAGCGCAGGACAAAATATCGTGAGACAAAATTGCGCAAGGACAAAATACCGCAAGGACAAAACAGCGCAGAACAAAATAGTGCAGGACAAAATAGCGCAAGGACAAAATATTCTGGTATTCTATTTAAAATAAAAAAAAATAATTGATTTACCCAACCTGTGCCTGTGCAACATGCAATGGCACCAGGCCGCACAGGTTAGGTAAATTGGTTGTTTTTTTATTTTAATTAGAATACTAATGAGGGAAAACTAGCGCAAACGAACAAGAAATGTTTTTGTAATTAATGTAATTAATGTAATGTAATGTATGATGAACTACGATTCATCTCTTTTATTATTGGATAATTTGGTTTGCTTGGATATAGGTACTTGACTTTCATTTTGAAATAGCAGTCATTTAAATATGGAATTCATTCAATCACAAAAATCTGATGTGTCCAACACATGACTTTCCTATCTAATTATTATAGGCTTTTTCCCGTTATTTTGTACAACCTATTGCAGCACCTCTATAAATGTTTAGAGGATAAACTAAATATATACATTTTCCACATACATCTAACTCGAAACATTTTTCTATAGATATTCACTGAAAACGAAAATAAAATTTAGCACTTTTCCTTCAATTTCTTCAATACGGTTCATTTTTGAAAAATCATATAAAAAACAAAAATTATAGATATCGATCACACAAATAATTTTTATTTAAACAATTTTCCTAAAAATTTGAATTTTATTACATTTTGTCAAATTTCTCGAATACGGACCATTTAAAAAAAATTGTATGAAACAAAAATTATAGATAATAATATTGTAAGTAATTTTTATCTGAACAATTTTCTTCTCCAAACATCAATAACAGATATATTCCATAAAATATAAAAACAGCCTCCCATAAAGTACCCCCCCAAACGTTCCGCCTTCGTCCAAAATCTTATCATTTTACCTCAGGCCGAAATAAAACTTAAGTTTAAAATTTAATGTTTTTTCCTTTATCTGTTTTTGAGTTTTCTTCAAAATTCGAAATTTACACATTTTCTCAAATATCTCGAATACGGTCTATTTTAGAAAAATTATGTAGGGAATAAAAATTATAGAGAATTAAATTACAAACAACTTTTATTTAAACAATTTTTATAAAAAAATAATTTTTTTTGGAACAAAAATTATAGATAATAATATTATAAGTAACTATTATAAATAACGGATATATTTCATAAAATATAAAAATGACTACCAATAAAGTACCCCCCCAAATGTTCCGACTCTGCCCAAAAACTAATCAGTTCTTTGGACAATGGAATAAAGCTTAAGTTTAAAATTTGGTGTTTTTCTTTTCATCGGTTCATGAGTTATGGTGGATACAGACACACACACTGACACACAGACACACACACACACACAAACATCATCCCGAAAATAGTCAAAACGGATTCAGGGGACCCCAAAACATAAAAATCCGTCTAAAACTGGAGGTCGAAAAAAATCATGATTCCTATACTTTCCTTATCTGTATACAGATAGGAAAGTAAAAAGGCAGAGATATTTTAATATTCGAAAGCTATCGCTACAGGTTAGAGTCGATGCTGATAAATCGATGGAGATGCATTAAGGTATGGTGTAAAGGACATGTGAAGACAATTAAAGAGATTCCAAAGATTATAACTATGCATAACCATGCATCTGATGTAGAGGATAATAATGCCCGTACTGTAGTAAATAAAATTAGAGAAAAAGCAAAACAAACACGAGTTAAGGCTAAAGAAGTAATTCAAGAAGCAACTCAAGGAATGTCTCTGCTCGCATCATCTTCACTGCCGAAATATACGTCTACAAAAAAATATTCATCGTCAAAGGAATAAATGTATAATATTACATTACACTAATTACAGATCGTTACGTGAATTAATAATTCCAGAAGATCTACAAGTTACAACTAGAGGAAAACATGCTACTATGGGATTCTGGCGTTAAAGACCCTAAGAGAATGATAATTTTTGGGACAAGGGAAAATGTAAGTCTTTTACAAAAATACGAAAACTGGTTTACAGACGGTACATTCAAAGTTGCTCCAGAATTTTTTACCCAAGTATTTACTTTACATGCGTTGATCGACAACAGAGCAATTCCTTTAATTTATGTTTTTTTATTGAATAAATCCGAAGACACTTATGTAAGATTTTTTTGAACAATCAAAGAGATTAAACCAAATTTAACACCAGTTACAATGATGCTCGATTTTGAAGAAGCGATATGTAATGCAGCCGCTTCTGTTTTTCCTAATTTGAAGATTATTGGTTGTTTGTTTCATTTGGGACAAAGCTTGTGGAGAAAAATTCAAAAATTGCATATAACAAAAACTTATAGAGAAAACGAACAATTTCGTATTAATGCTAAAATCATATTAGCGTTATGTTTTGTTCTTCCAAGAGAAGTGGCTTCTGTTTTTGACGTTCTCTCTGAAATATGTGTTCCAGATTTACGACCTCTTTTGACTTATTGGGAAAAGTATTATATTGGTCGGGTTAAGTTAGGATCGCGCGAAGTTCCTCTTTTTCCGATTACCCATTGGAATATGTGGTATCGAGTTTTAATGGATCTTCCAAGAACGAATAATTCAGTAGAAGCATTGCATAATGCATTTCAAAAAACTTATGACTGTCATCGTCCATCAATGTTTAAATTAGTTAGTCAAATTAGAAGAGAAATTGATTATTATGACATTATCATACAACGTTTCAATAACGGCGAGCGGAGATCAGAAGCTTCTAAAAAGAAATATATTACACTAAACCAAAAAAAAGCACTAATAAAAACTTGGGGCACTGTATCATCGCTGGATTGTCTAAGATATATTGCTCCTTTACTTAGTATTTAGTCTGAATTTTTGTGGTTTGTTTGACTAAATGTATGCTTGCGTACCGTTATAATTTGTTATTAGACATCTTGTAAAATTTTTATTTAAATTAATTATTACTGATATTTTATTTGATATAAAGAAGATAAAAAAATTATAAAAAAAATCTGACTTATTACTAACTTAAACTTTAGAATTGTATGCGAATATTGTAAATTAAAATAGTGGTAGTAATTATAGTTGGGCCCTATTTTTCTCCTTGCCTTATTTTGTCCTTGCGCTATTTTGTCCTGCGCTATTTTGTCCTTGCGCTATTTTGTCCTGCGCTATTTTGTCCTGTGCTATTTTGTCCTTGCGCTATTTTGTCTGCGCTATTTTGTCCTACGCCATTTTGTCCTGCGCCGTTTTGTCATGGAGCCATGTTTGTTGGAAACATATAAAATGAATATTCTTCGGAATATTTGCCCATAGGAATTTTAATTATTTTAAAATTTTGAGATTTTACAATTTTTTACTAGTATTTTTCCTAAAAGTTAAAATCAAGGGTAACTTTAAAAAACAGAAAATGTTTGAGCAGTTGCGTAACATAAAGTTTCTTACCCATGCCGTAAGCCACTGGCAAAGTTTAAAAAAATGATTTTTTTACTGTTACGTTGTTTTATGACACCAAAGTTTGCAGATTTTATTAAAATTATTCTAAGTAATTAAAAAATTTTAGACATTAATAATTTTACAGTTTTTACACCCAGTATTTTGAAAGCCAGTAACATTTTATAGAAGGGTACATTTAAGTTATTTTCACAAGACAAAATTGTAAAAGTTTTGTTGATTCTTATACCTTGTAGAACAGGAAATACTAGCGTTCTACTTTATATCTTTAATCTAAAAATTTGTTAGAAGCAGTTTTGCCTTATTTCTTCAGCAATGTTTTTAACCAAAGAATGTTTTTCACTCGCCAGCAACAATTCCATAACTTTAGGATAGATATTGTTGCTCTTCTTCCCTAGAAAAGAAAGAGCAGTACCTGCAGAAGTCATTTTTGAGTGGACTGTGTGTAGCAAAAGTCCTTCGGAAATGATAACCCGGCATATGTGGGTGTATTTGATTTTGAAAATATTGCAAATAATTTTTGCCAAAATAATATTACTTGTATTGAGAAGATTTTTCTCTGTAGAAAGTAACAAAAACCTAGTGTTAAAAATTCACTTTTTAAAAAGAACATACTACATCAACCTGTATGATAGCGTTGATTTACAATTGTCATAACGATATATACATTTTTTCTGCAGCGATATTAATGAAAAACTTACCAAAAACAAAGCAGTACTTACCCTAAACTCCCCGCTGCTCACTTTTGTGTTTCAAATTGTATACTAACCATAATAAGTAATAGTTAACAGCTCAAACTACAATAAAAAGGAGCTGGAGAAAATTTCTTTTTTTGTAAATTATCTAGACCATGATTCTTGTAGGTGTGAAAACCTCTTTTCTTCTGTTTTTGTTACCAATAACACTGATATCACCTAGCACTATTTTAGTCCAAATAATAAGAGATAATCAAAGTATCCCAAAATGTTACTTTAACAAAGTCACTAAAATTTAGCATAATTATAATCTGCACCATCGGCGTTGTCTATAAATTTTAAACGGCCTCTACTTCTTCTTTAACCACTTTTATATTCCAGCTGCAATGGGTAGAAGTCAATCAACGCCAGGTTTGGTCGAATCTCGAGGCAAGGTAGCCCTAGAAGACATGTGGGTCCCTCCTTCGATGCCAGTCTTGACCCCGGCTTATCCGAGATCACTGATAAGCTCGCCGTCTAGGATACAAACGCCAGACTCGCCTGGAGGAGTATCGACTAGCAGTGGAAGAAGTGCTAGAAGCCATCAAGTTACGGGGTCTCACCAAAGATCAGGTGAATTAATTATTAATTTTAATGGTAAAACTAGGAAATAAAATTACCAAGAGATAAAATATTTTTGTAATAGTTCTTGATTACATACCTACAGGTTTTTGTAATTAATTGATTACTATATTAGGATTATCAAAGTTTCGTTTCAATAGAGAAACATGACGAAAGTGATTATTGTAACGATACTGTTAATAAAATGGGTAGCCTTGCCTTAAATCTTCCGACCTGGGATACATTACTGCCCATTCACTCAAAAATTGCACTAGGTTTAGTTTTTCTTACTTTAATTATTTTAATATCATTAGACAAAACTTTTTTCCTTTTTCTCGTTTACATTAAAGTTCGTGCCCATTATTTTAGTTATTTTTTTCCAATCAACAAAATCTTCAGTTAACATCTCATTTACTTTGTATGGTTTACCTCGTTCAGATGGCACATAAAGCGGGCCCATTTTTAAGTACTTTTGATCTTTCCTTTTCAGTACACGAATGCATGAAATCGCCCTCATTTTCCATGTGTCCAATGATATTTATTGTTAATTTCTTTTAGTTTTCCACGGTGTAAAATTACATTGCCATTAAAAATTTATTTTTATTTTGAGCTGTACAATTATCACCGTAGAATACAATGTTTTTCTTATACCATGCTTCTTTAAAAACTGAAATACACAAGTAGATATTTCATTAGCATCTCTTTTGGCCTCTCCTTCATACCAGATGTAGCAAAACCCAGATTTTTCTTTTATGTTGAAGATCGTGAAATTGAAAACGTTAATTTTACTTTTATAGTAAAATGTTGATACGTTACCATTAGGCAGTGGAGTAACAGCTTGTAAATCATAAGAACATAATGTATTATTATTATGTTCATCTTGTAATGCCAAATTTTATCGAGACAGAACCTTTTCAAAATGTTCTTTTCTGGCTTCTTTTTCGTCAGCACTTAAATTTTTATACGTTTCTCAGCAGAACATAAGTGTTTTTCAGCTGAAAAAACCCTAAATTAAACTTTGTATTAAAAATGTTTGAGTAAATGTATTGTGTAATACATTTACTCAACATTCTTGAATGAGTAAGTTTCTGAAAAAAATATTTCATTTTAACATATCTTAGTGTTTCACTTAAAAAGTGGGTTTATTACGAATAATTTGACGCTAATATCTCAAAATCCTATTTTTTGTTTTGATAATCTACTGTTGCTTTGAGGCGACGATATATGGATTAAAGTTTGCAGCACTTTTGCAATTTTATTTAGAAAGTTATAAATTTTAATTTTTTGCAATTATTAATGTTTCGGGCCTCAGGAAAAGTTCAAAAATAAATTTACAATTATTTTAATTTAATAAATATTCCAACAAAGTTTGAAAGCTATTGTAATTAATGTGAATTGATTACCTTTAATGACTGGCCTATTCGTTTTAGAAAATAAATGTTCGAAAAAGAACAAAAACAACCAGAATGACCCCAAAACGTCTTTGACCCTACTTAATTTGTAATCCACGCACTACCAGACCCTTTCATTCAAACATGGTAATATGATAATCTTCTCTCCAAAAACAATCTGAAACTGACCTTTTAAATATTAAACAAAACAAATCAAGTTCATTGTGCGATTCATGAAAAAGCCCTCCGACAGGAAAAGTCGCATTATACCTGTAAATTTTTCAGGAAAGAAATCAGCTCTTGTAAAAACGTGCCTGGACCTTTCTAATAAAAAATTCAAAAGTCAATTTCTGGTTTATCCGTACGTAAATTCGCCCATATAAAAAAAAATACGCAGGAATTTCGTAAATTTTTTAGAGTTATAGCGGAGTGAGATAAAGGGAGGACTTTTAACGTGGACATAATACAAATGAGTGGCTCAGTGCCAGATTTTCCTAACCAACAAAATTTTAAAACAATCTGATTTTGTATATTATTATTTTAAAATCATTTTTGTACGTGTCAAAGTTGCCTATTAATTCTATTTATAAAACAGTTTTAAAAACTATAATTATAGTTTATATTCGAGTCAAGTAAGAATGATTAAGAAATATAAGGTTTTGTTCTGTTTTTATAAATTACTATTTCTTTACCATTCTTAACTATTCTAACATTTAGTGTCTCACTACATATGATAAATTACAGATAAGGTAATTCCGGGATTGTTGCCCCACTTAACTAAAAAAAATTGCAATATTGAGGGACCAAAACCTCAAAAAAAATTAAGTTGTATGGTTTTTAATCAGGAACACATACAATGTGTTGTTTTTGAAAAATATGCAATAATTACAGGCTTATATTTGAAAAATCATGATGCGGGTGAGATGCCCTACATTAACGGGACAGATGCCCTAGCTCTAAAAGTACAGCACAGTGTAGATCATATTAAATAATGATACAAATTAAAACCAACTTTTAGAAAAATATGTATCATATTTATTAAAATAAAAACAAAGAAGAATAATAAACAAAACAAACTCTTAGAAAAAGGAACATAAAAAAAATTGTTGTTAAAATCAACTGACAAAAAATAAAAGTCAAAATATGAAATCTAACCTAAAATATATTTTTTAAGTCTTTCTTCGCCTTTTCAGCTTTTTTCTGCTCTCCCAAAAAAGTTACATTTACTACCGTACAAAGAACATGTCTCATGGTACCATTTTTGACATGCAATACACTGAAGCCAATCAACTGTCTCTGTTGTTTCAAAATAGTTTTCCAGACACTCAACACATTTTTCTAATTGAGATTCCTTAATTTTCGTATTTTTTGAATATTTTGAAGATGACTTAACAGTGCTTTTAATTTTATTTGCCACTACGGTTAATGGTTCATTATCTGAAGATTCGGAATTTTCAGAAATTTCAGTTTCATTTTTGTGTGCCTTTTGGTTTTTACTGTGCTTTAATATTTTTGCGTTTAGGAGTTGAGCGGCTTGTTTTCTTCTTTTTCTTTGGATAGGTTGAATGACTGAAACGGGAGAAATTTCTTGAAGAAATTTGCTTGGTGTTTCTTTAAATTTTCGTTTGTCAGGCTTGGAAACACGTGTGACATCAGGAGACCCGTGTATTGGTTTTGGGCTCGGCTCTTTTGATGGACTTGGACTGAGGTGTTATAGGACTAAACTGTGTTGATGGTCCTGCAATTGGCTCATTAGGAACAAACTAGGTCAAGTTTTCACCACTTGCAGAAGATGCTATATCAGCTATTGCGTAGAAATGGTCTGAAATGACATCGGGGTCTAAAGAAAATATTCCTGTTGCTCTAAAGCCCGAAAGAGCAGTTTCTACTGAGACTGATTTTTCCCATGCCTTTTCAATCAGTTGACTTGCCTGAACCCGCTTTAGTTGTCTTATCATTTGCATCTGCAAATTCAAACATTTCTATAAAATTTGTATGGAAGGTATTTCCGTCTAAAATTCCAGGGGGCTTACGAGAAGCAAAATGATCCCTTAGCCATTTTAAAAACAATTCAACAGTAATGTACGAGGACTTGGGATTCATAAAAACTTTGGAACTTGCAGGTAGTCCATCTTTGAACTCCGGTTTTTCTCGTTGTCCATTGAATATAACCACTGGTGGTAGAAATCTTCCCTCCGCACTGCAGCAGGCAATAATGGACACATTTTCGCCCTTTTCGGATGAAATTAAAGTATGAACATCCTTAGCTCCCTTTGTTGCGATTACCTTACCAGCTTCGTTATTTACTTGAAACCCTGTTTCGTCCATGTTAAATATGTTTTCCGGTCTAACGAACATGTGTGTGTAACTCTTTTGAAGCAAATCGAAAAAATGTTTAGCTTCTTCTCTATTCATTGCCTGGCTTTGAGCAATGGATAATCCCTGCGACTGCCTTACAGTTTGTTTGTTGCAGTCGCGTCGACGCAACGGCATTTATAGGGTGGCGTTGAAATACATTCAATCATGTCAGAGGTTCACACGATGCAACGTCGACGTTGCGTCAACGTCATAGAATGTCAAAGCGACTGCAAAAATACCACCTCTCGATATCTTCTCGACGCCACATCTCAGCGGTACGTTGGCGTTGCAAAGATATATTAGTTTGTATCAAGAAGTACATACGAAAGGTTATAGAAAAACGTAGTAGCTGTGGACGATGAGCAATTCGACACAGAAATATTCATAAAAGAAATAAAGGAACATCCCGAAATGATCTTGTTTTATTTAAGTATTACATTCGGTTCATCAATAAGCATATAATCATAAGAACATAATTAAACAAATTACATTCATCATGATTTCTTGAGTCAAAAAGCTTAATCATAAGAACATAATTAAACAAATTACATTCATCATGATTTCTTGAGTCAAAAAGCTTAATATGAAAGCACCTTTTAACCTTTAGTAAACGGGAACTTAAATAAGGATATACCCACCCTACTATTACTTTTTTTGAACCTACATATATATTTTGTGCTATTAAGACGAATTTACTCTACCTTGTTTCGGAACAGAAAACAAGAAGCGCTGCGTGTAAATTAAAAAATTGCATTTGCGTCAACGTATTGTTAACGCGACTACAAAAAAACGTTCGTGAGCATCGACCCTAACAGGTTATTTCGAGGTTAAACTAAGAAAATACCTTGTATAGTTGTTATATTATATTATATTATATTATATTATATTATATTATATTATATTATATTATATTATATTATATTATATTATATTATATTATATTATATTATATTATATTATATTATATTATATTATATTATATTATATTATATTATATTATATTATATTATATTATATTATATTATATTATATTATATTATATTATATTATATTATATTATATTATATTATATTATATTATATTATATTATATTATATTATATTATATTATATTATATTATATTATATTATATTATATTATATTATATTATATTATATTATATTATATTATATTATATTATATTATATTATATTATATTATATTATATTATATTATATTATATTATATTATATTATATTATATTATATTATATTATATTATATT